AATCTAACAATATCTATTGAGGCGCTTACCTTCCAATACCAACGTCCTCATAGATGTCGTCTGGGCACAATGTTTCGTTGGAATAGAGCATTTCGTTGAATATCTTCACGGCTGCCCTCGATAAGACATAACCGGCTCCACCAGCGTTGTAGCCGTTTTCCTGGGAAAGCGATATTGTTAGAGAGGGTCTGATAATAATAGACAGAACAGAAATTCTCACCAAATAGGGTCTTAATTTGTAGCCGAGATAATATGGTTTGTTCGGATCGAGGTGGGATAGATATTCCCTCAGATGTTCGACGACTACATAGGTGTCATCGTCAGCCTGAAATCAACGCGTTCAAAGTTTTTTTTTTCAAAGAAAGTAGTGATGTGTAAACTGAATTTTGGTCTCCATCATAATTGAGGCTCAAAAAGCCGACGACCGTTACAGTGGTAAAGAAAGGTGAGGAACAAGATAGTGCCGCACCCTTTTCAATGGAGTCATGTTCCTTGCAAACGATGCGGCGTTTGGGGAAAGCGTGATCGGAGCGCAGCCAGGACAGGTTTCTCACCAACTGTAGTGAGGTCAGGATGGCAACATTGGGTGGGAAGGCCGTCCTGGATGCGCTCCAATCCATGTGGCGCCATATGCCTATCGCTCATAGGGATCACACAAGTAATTTTGTGTGACGTTTTCAAGTTTCACATGGAAACTTTGCTCGCCCCTTGGAATGTGTTTGCCCAGGTTGACCACTCCTGGGAAAGCTATTCCAACAACTAGAGTTGGTGAAAGACAGTTCCCGCGATAAAGTGTCATGGATAGTTGCTGTTCAATTATGAAACAGTAGCTGATAAGTAATTCCCCAAAGAAGAAAAAAGAACACCATGAGACAGAAATCGCTCCCATAACAAGTCACACCGCCCCTACAACTTCCTGTGCAACCCCTGGCTAACAAAATCGGCTTTCTTCGCATCTGCAAGTAGAGACATAATCCAATGCAAAGAACAGGAATAAACAGATACGAAAAACAACAAGAACACGCCAAACTATTTTTTTTTGCTGACAAAGATGGGATAAACTATCAACCTCGCATCGGAATTTTAGACGGTTACAACGGTAGGGTTCGTCGTTTTTATTGTAGCGTCGCAGCTTTTATGCACCAACTGAAAAATTGATCACTCGTGTTTTTTTTTACACGTTCTTTACCTTGCAAGATGGGTTGCACATGACTGTATTTGTGCTTCACAACAAATTTAAAAATGTTAATTGAAGCAGGATAACTTAAAGACAGCGCCCGCGATGGACTTTGGCAGGTTTCAGGGGTCACATTTGCTAGAACAGGTGGCCAATGAAGCACTAATCAAAAAAAGCAGGAAAAAGGTGTGGAAGAGCGTGAAATAAGACCCTATGAAATTCTTAAGGATGTGCGAAGCGAGATTTTCGCCAAACTTCTGGTGAGTTCTCCAATACACGTCGCCGCCTCGGAACTAGAAATTCAGCGTATATCAATGCCAGCAAGCATTGATAACTGTCAACCAGTCGGGGGGGGGGCGGGGATTAACAAGACTCAAAGACTGTATATGGCCTATGCAATGACTTGCTCGCGCCGCCGATGTACAATACTTATTCTCCAGTTCAAGTTTGGTACCCGTTAACTGGCCCTGAAAGGATGGGCAGGTTGGTTCGAGCCACAGCAGGCCGAGGTTTGAACCCCAGATGCGCACTGGCGTTAAAGATTTCACTTGAATTCATGTGTTTTGCCCTATCATTTCTGTAATCCTAACAGAATTTTCTTGCTACAAGAAAATTTATCACGCTGCTCAGACAGGAGGCGTCAGCCGGCTTGGTTGACTCCGCCTGTCAACCAATCGATTTCGAGCCGCAAGAGTGGGATTTCTGCTGTGATTGCGGACTCCGCGTTCGTTTTCAATGGAGGGTTTTTTCACTTTGGTTGATCGCGGACGCTGCCTTTAAGGCACGAGCGCGGTCAGCAAAACATGCAATTCCGGTGAAGTCCGTCGTCCCAACAGAGAACAACCGAACGGCCCTCCGTCACAGGGCAACTAGCAAACTTTAGGCCGTTCAAGGTGGAGCGGGCGTTAGAGCAAAGAACCTTCAGCGGCTTAGCATGCTCCTCACTCGCTGCGGAGTCGCGAGAATGGGATAGTCTTTTAGCTTGGGGACTGGACTGCTTGCACAAGCGCCGGAGAACGACCTATGCGTTACTTGAGCTGAGGGAGGCTGTTCTTAAGTGAAGTCATTTTCAGGACAGAACGGTGTAAAATATCGTCAGGTAGGCCGCTACACGTTTGCGTTGATTCGATATTTATTGTTTGTAGGACTCCATTATGCCTATGCAATGAACTTGCTCGCGCCGCCGATGTACAATACTTATTATCCAGTTCAAGTTTGGTACCCGTTAACTGGCCCTGAAAGGATGGGCAGGTTGGTTCGAGCCACAGCAGGCCGAGGTTTTGAACCCAGACTGACCGCAACTGGTAAAAGGATTTCACGTTGACAACTTCATGTTTCTGCCTATCATTCTGTAATCCTAGCAGAATTTCCTGCTACAAGAAATTTATCACGACCTGCCTCAGAATTCTTCCCCTGGCTTGAATCACTTTTAATATGTAACTTTGACGTTTTCATCGCTTCCACTGAACTGAATCACCTTTTCACATATATTTCGCCTTCCAACATATTTTTTGATGAGGCATCTTATATCGATGAATTTTATATCAAACACTATGCTATATAAGCAGTCTGGGGGTAATGTACAACATGGTCCTCGAGTTAAGCGTCTCAGCAAATATCCCTCCTCAGGAAATGCGCGACCAGCGGCAAGATTGAACCCCTCGCCAAATCAGTATGATACTGGAGTCTGCTGAAAACGTCGCTGCCGAACGGAATGCGCTTATTCGAAATGCGAGTAGGAAAAAGACGCAATGTGAAGTGGTAGATGTTCCATATCGTCTGAACGACTCTCAAAAATTGCTTCTCGCCAACAACTTTCCTGAGTTTGAAGTCCGCGACGGCGTCGGACATCATGACACGCTTATGCGGCTGTGAGCCAGCATTTGGCCTCGAAACTTCTCTAAAACCATGTGGTACCGCACGAACATGTGACGGACGTAGGCGGTAGCTATCGAAGACGCTCGAAATACCGAGTGTGCACATTATTACTCCGTTGTTGGCGGCCTCTGACATCCCACGTCAGATGTCTGACGTTGACGCGTCGTGGGTAACGTAACTTCTGCATGGAAGTGTGGTCGTCGTCCGAAGCACCCAAAGGAGGCAAATCTGCATACTATGATGCAGTCATCGGCTTTGACAGGAACGCAATGTCCAGGTCGCTTGCAGGATTGCAAGCACCTTGGACGTTCTTACTGCTATGGATTCGACTTACGACATAGACCCGACCGACTTTTTAGACGCAATGTGCGGCTTGGTGCGAAGCGAGCTCATATTTCCATGCTGTGGGCTACTCATCTTCTCGTAGGCTGGGATAAATGGTGTTGTACTGCGAAAACACCACCTGGCGCCGTGATGGCGACGTCGTCACATGTACTGTGGGTTCTGTTCCTACAAACATTCTGCACACACCCTTTTTTCTTGTCTGACATTACCCACTGGACTACACTACTCTTGTCAGACATTTTTTAATGAGCGTGTAGGTCTGCGTGGGCAGCGTATGGAAATCGTTGTGTACCGCATGCCTGGTCACCTTCGAATTGATCAAACGGCTACCTACGTTTTTCCATACGTCGACCTCCAACAGTATCATTTGCTGCGCGTCCCGTCGAATGCGTGGGCGGCAGCACGATACTGCTTCGTTCCTGTTAGTTTGTGGAACACATTGGTCACCCACTTGACCACTATGAAGGATATCACTGATGGCGGTCGAATTGATGACACAATTGCTAGCGCTGTGCGTTATTTGCGTACACAAATGTCGTCCGTTAACATCAACGGTAGATCTGTTGAAGTCCGAAGCATGACTGATGATGTACCATACAAAGCGGCCATTGCGGTAGTATACACTGTTGGTGCATTTCATGATATACGCAGTGTTATAAAACGGTGTCACGGGATATACGCAGTGTTATAAAACGTGGCACGGCACAGGCTGCTTCTGATAAGCGCTATGCCATGACCAGTACCTTCGGACTAGTCGTGCAATGGATATTGGACGGTTGTCCTTCCGAGACGTTTTCGACAATCCCCTGCGTGCTTGCGCAGGCGCTTAGGCAGCGTTCAGACTTCGCGACGGCAGCGCCTCGGTCGCGCGTTCGGCGCGATCGATGCGCATGCTTTCAACTGCATCGATCGCGTCGAACGCGCGACCGAAGCGCTGCCGTCGCGAAGTCTGAACGCTGCCTTACAGCGCACATGCCCGCCGCTGATGTGCGACCGACTGACACGCCCACATACGTTAACGACAACTACCAACGTCAAAGGATCGCTTCAGTTCGTCAACGACGGTCTAATCAAGCATGACGTACAGTCAAGAATAGTTGCCAGGAAATTAAGCACTGATACATCTTTTTTAGGTTCAGTTTTGGGTAAAATTGGTGAAAAACTTTCCATCTAGACTAATTCCTGATTTTTCCTTGAATGCATTGTTAAAATTTGTCACCCCTCTTCTGGGATTGATACTTCTTAACCTCTGCATCTGCAGGACATTTCTATTCTTTGTTCAAAAATTCCCCATGATCAAAGAAAATCATTGATAACTTGTTGCCCTGGGAGTTTCTGTAATCCTACAGAATTTCTGCTACAACTGAAGATTTATTACACTCCTTATCCCTGAGACAGAGTAGGCGTGGCATTTGAACATGGCATAGAATGGGTTACTCGTGGGATAATCCAGTTCGAGTCAACTGTCATCTTGTTCTGTATCGGAGAGAGACACGACCACAATTATGTCAAAAAGAAAATAGCTCTCCAGAAGCACAACCACCGTCACTTTGAATTAAAGAAGGCGGCCACGCCTACCCCATCTTAGGGATTTCGAGTGTACGTACGCTCGGAACTCTTTTTGATCGGATCACTTTTAAATATGTAACCTTTGACGTTTTCATATCTTCTCACTGACTGAATCACCTTTCACATATGTTTCGCCTTCCACATATGTTTTGTCATGAAGCCTCTTAATGAGAATTTTATATTAAAAACTCTGCTATATAAACAGCCTGAGGTAATGAATAAATGGTTCTCGAGCCAAACGTATCTCTCCTCAAGAAACTATCATCACTTATGTACCACTACATTGTCTCCGCCCTATCAAAACTGCTGATATTATCCGTGTTATCAAATTATATTCTTGAAGCTGTTTTTAGTATTTTTTGGTTCTAAGAAGTATAAAAAATTCAGATGCCTGAAAAATTACATTTCTTAGCTAGTCTCAAGTTTTTTTTCCAACACTCTTTATCAGCCAAGGACCTACCTTCATATACCAGTCGAAGTCTTTGGAAATATAGTGATAGATGTAGAAGAAGGCGTATCGACTTTTATAGAACAGATTATAGTAGGAGTCAGGAATGCCAGCAAAAACAGTTGAATAAGGAATGTCACTGGACGAAAAGAAATCTCCCGTGAACAGTTGTCCATGATCACATCGTGACAACCAAGTTTCGTTAATGGCCAGGGCCTAAAGATATTCATTTGACGTGAGATGCGCAACGATAACTATAGCGACGAAGAGGAGGAGAAAGTGGGTGGAGTTCCTCGAAAAGAGGGTGGAGCTCCACACAGCTTGAAAAAACAGCTGAGGCTCTTTAGAAAGCTCACCCTAGTGTCGTGATAAATCTTCGCTGTTTGAACCCAACAGAATAGTTGACCGGACAGCGGAAGACGTTGCGCTGCCGGCGAAGTGTAGACAAACTGCAGAAGAAGAGGATCACTCGTCCTAAAAAGAGATTGATTACTCTCTTCATTGAGGCGTGGAAATTCACAGAAAAGCACCTGTCATAATGGGTGCCAGGTCGGTTCCATATCAAGATTTTCAGCAGAAATCCTAGAATTCCGATTGATATCAATGCGCCACCAACTTGTCGCCTTGTCAACACTGATGGCTTCATCTCTGCCTGGAACATTGGGTCCGATGGAAATCTTTTGAAAAATGGATAGAAGGGACAGGTTGGCTAGCGGGCTAAGAAAACCGTGGTACGTAGGTAAACTGGGTTTTTTTACCCAACCAAGAAATCCTAGCCCTCTCTACTCAAGCGGAAGTTCTCTTCTTCTTCAGAACTGTTACCTGGAACGGTAAGATCCCCGCAGCGAGGGGGCGGAACTCAAGGAAGACAGACGTTTATGTTGTTTTCAATGCTGAGTGCTATAGTCATGCTGAATAGCTCGTCATGCTGAATTGCCTATTATGGGGTAACAGTGGGGAAGGAGCCGGAACCTCCGATAGGTGGAGTCGCTGCCGCGTGCGCGGCTAAGATGAACACAGTGACATAACATCCCAATTTCACAAGACGAGACGTAACTCAAACCTGAGGGGTAACTCCAAACGGTGCTAGCGCTTTCACAGCACCATACAGTGAAGGGATTAGTGAGATCCGTACAAATAAAAGCAAACAGGCCACAAAAAACCACGTGTCAAAGCGAAGGCTCCGCCCCGTCTCGGAGGCCCAACCCCTACTCCAACGCGTTTTAACGATTTATAGCGCAGCGGGGCTTTCTCACTCATATTGCAGTAAATCTCAATAAGAGTCCGGATTTCAGGAATAACCTCTCGCCAAAACCGTGCAACTCTCGAGTGTGGAATCCACGTAATCGGTCGCTGGTGGTCTCATTTGTGCTGCGAAAACTTACGCCTTTGCCGCGATAATTTTACCAGTTTTCATGGCTGGTTGAGGATCGCTTTAGCTCTCATCCCTCACGAAGGGTAAAGAGATTTTGGGGGGAGAGGTCATATCGGGAGAAAAATGGGGCAAGGGAGGGGTCATAAAGGTCGTATTGAAACTGCGCAACCTCATGATGTTCTTGCGCGGATGGCACCATGGACGCTAGATGAACCTGATCGGGATCCATGATTCACCCCGTACCGGTGGATTGCGCAGTTGTGTTAAAAAATGCCTAAATGCACCGGCTAAGCGGTTGGGTCGGCGAGATGCACAGAACCAACGAGATCAGCAAGGTTTTGTGTCTTGTTCTTCATCGCAGGCCCTTCAATAAAGGTATAACGTCACTTAGGAGAGGAAATTGATTCGTCTTGATTTGGGGAAAAATCACTTGGAAAATTATCCCAAGAACACTGAGTTAAGGGCAAAGGATTTCGGGAGGACCCTAGAGAGGAGTCGAACCCCCACCTCAAATCCATCAAACTGATAGAGTAGGATGCGCATGGCACACTCGCCCAGTGCGCGTTCCTGTACTTCTTGAGCTGAACTCTTTTGCCCACAACTGAGCTTTCTCGCGATAACTTCGGGACTGCGGTGCAATATAGTAGTCATCGTGAAGTCACTACATATCAGAAGGGCTGTTCAGGGTGGAAGCTCCCGACTTCTAGCTACAGTACGTGAAAACGTCTTGAAACACTTCATCGAGCATTTCAGCCCTTCACGTACTTGACCCGTTCATGAAAGACTCACCTTTGAAAGGAAATACTGTTCATATTTGGTCTCAGAAGTCGTCGGCAGTGACGATATAGAACCCAGTAAAGGAGGCATTTCTGCAATCGATAACTTTTACATGAAAATTACGATGAAAAAGTAACGAAGGCAGTGCGATGGAACGACAGAAAAAAAGAGAAAAACCGTTAAAAATTCGAAATAATACATGGAATAGCAATGAGTTGCCATTTTTACGCGATGATTCAGATAGAAAGAGCTCACACAGGAATGCTTAGCTGAAATGAAAGAAGACGAGAGAAACGATTGGAGAAGGCTCGACTGATTTGGCTGGAACCCGATCCGAGCTTTGATTACGATCAAAGAGGCCACTTGCAACTATACTATAGTTGAGACTATCACGATCAGTCGGGGCGGTGCCAGAGGCGTGGAGTGGGTCTACTCGCGGCTGCGTTTTCTACCAGTAGTGATCTTTAGTGATTGATTGACAAGAAAACAACCAGTAGTTCGAAACACCGCGGATGAGCTAATTTTACACCTCCTGACCCCGCCCTGTAACGATATCAAATGAAGTTTCGCCCCCACGGCAGGATAAACCCACACGTGTTACAATTATAATATTCGCTTCCTTTACTTTTACTGTAATGCCCGACAAATTTCACAACACGCCTAGGCATGGTTGACTTTGAAAAAATGAGATGAGGGGAAAAGAGAGACTTTTACAAAAGGAAAACAAGGAAGAAAATCTGATCCCCATACCTTTGAACCATTTCTTTCGATTTGGGTACAGCTGACTAAAAGAAAATTTATAGTACGTTTGAAGCGGGTTATAATCAAAATTTGAAAAATCCTTGTCTGCATTCATGCATGTGATGTGATGATGTTCGTTTCACGATGTGATACAATGATGTGCTCTGTTTATGAATCTCTTGAAGAAGTGAAGCCATTCCAGAAAGGACCACCTATTCATGAAAGCCGCTACAGAAATTATGAGGCGCCGAGCTTAAATTAAACATCTGCGCAGACGACAGGCAAAATTGGAAATCCGAACCCGCAGTTCCATAGTCATGGGTCCTCTAGCTGACTACTAACTTCTTCGTATAAGCTGGTACCGTCAGCTCAAGGTGAGTGCGGACCAGGAGATCGCGATATGTCCCCGTGTGTCCAACTAATATTCCCTATCGAACTGGCTCGGCACGCGCTTAAATGGATTAGGCTCTGGTGTGAATGCCGAGCAAAAGACATTACTCGCTATCATGTAATCGCGACCTGGACCTCGGTTGCGTGGCTCTCAAAAAAGGATTCCGCTACAATTTATTGCACCTCATTTAGCACGAAATTTAGATCTGCTCA